CTATCATTGGCAAGTAAACATAAAGCCGATGTTGGTGAAATTTGTGTCGATGTAAATATTGTCGTTGATTTCCCATGTCGGTTAATTAATATCGTCGATCAAATGGTGTCAATTAAGACATTGTTGGTGAAATGATTCTGGGTGATTTGATATAAATCTATAATCTTTCTGTATTATATATATATTATATACACACACACATATGTACTGTACTAAATTTGGTTAGGATGTGCAAAATGCAACATCGAATGTTTACTGGGCATTATACAACTAAGCTTTCAAATTTTTATTTCACTCTACAAAGACTATGGCCCTCTTGACAGCATCGCGCATGAACGACGCTAGATCAATGATCATAAATTGATCGCTAATTCTTCGTATTAGTGTGTCCTTGTTCTTTCTTAATTCTGTCAAAACTATTGAATTTATTTTCATGGTTTTCGACTGGCAAATACGTAAAAATCCCATATTCCACAATTCAACACACCGAAATTTTTGCCACATATTTACCCACGAAAGCCACATATTTCTGTGACTGCAGAGAACAACGCCGCGTATCACAGGTTTCTACTGCCGCGATCACTAATTCATCGTATCGCCAGCGTTTCCAATTGCACTGTTTGTTGAGTTTATCAAATCCGTTTTTGTTTTCTTTCTAATGAGAACGTAAATCTTATCAATTAATGCACAAGCTCAAATTTGTTGAAATCACACGTTGTTTTCTTACAGCCACAGAAATTACTTCGATCTTATGAAATTGTCCGACGCCGCTGAGTGGGCAGTCAAAAATGCTACGAAGAAATGTTCGAAGCTCGTGTAACAGTCAGCTATCAACTCGCCCCTTAACTCGCGATCTTAACGCGATCGTTGGAATACGGGAGCCACCATCGCCCCAGTAATTCAGGGATATCCGGCGCCACGATAATAAAGGATTACGAAGTCTCTGCCGATCTAAAGGCTATCAGCTGTCATTTTCTCACAGGCCGGATACCGGCGTTCCGATTATCATTGATCCTGATAGCCAGTTCACTCCCGGTGCACGCATCGCAAAGTTTCAAGCGAAGTCGACGGAGATAGCGGGGTGGAGCGAGGCGGAGGTGTTCGGGGGGTGGATGGGGGCCATTGTGCAGCACGCGTACGCTTCAGTTAAGTCACTCCGGAAAGTTTGCAGGTGGAGGAAGCCCAAGACCCGTTAATGCGTCGTAAATCGTTTCTCTCGCTCCGCGCACAAGTCAACCGCGGAGATTACACTCGACCGAGGTAGTCAAAAGTGACTCTCTGCAGCTTAGTCAAGTATCCGGTCTTAACAATGTACAGCTTGAGCGCGGGATTCCTCCTGGCTCGGCGTATCCGTACCGTGAAAAGCTTCGCCGGGCTTTCGGTCGTTTCGTGCGTCAGCCGAGTTCCGACAAGGGACATGCACACCGGCGGAATCATCAAAAACCGGGCTCGAAATCAAATGAGTTTGCTTAGGAGCAACAACGGAGAGTTTCGTGAGTGCAATCAAGCCGGAAAAGGAGGATCGGCCCGCTTGCGCGGCGTCGGCGTTGGGGCCGGGCCGGGCCGGGCTGGGTCGAGTCGGGTCGGGTTCTCAGTCGGGAGAAGCGAATCCGCACCCGCAAGGAACGACCCGTTCGTCCCCGCGATTTAAATTTCCGCCCTAAGGCAAACGAGCGAAACCCCGGCACCGAGCCGAGAAGATCGTTCGTCGAACCCCCGGTGCCAGTGATGGGATAAGTGCGACGCAATAGCTTCTTAATTACCGAGAAACTCGTTAGAATCTGTCTGGTCGGTGAGGTATTTCGCTTTTGTGAACGGGGAAGAGAGAATCAGAGAGCGAGAAAGAGAGAGACAACCCGACCAACCCGATATCGAGCCACGACAAAGAGCACCGTTACGCTCGTACACCGTTCCAAAGAGAAATGAAATTGATTTGCATTTCCGAAGAATTCTGATTGCACCGTACCGTCGATACGCAGGAATTCTCTTTGCCAATTTCAAGATTATTACCTGGGACGGTGGAATTGCTTGCACGGCCGTGTATCGTCCAACGATTCGACCTTGCCAGGCTAACGAGAAATTAGGCGAGGCAATTATGCGAAGAGATACAAAGTAGCGTCTAGTTTAACCGAATGAGTGTAACACGATTTCCGAGAGTTTATGCGAATTAGTGCTGAGAACAGGAGAGAATGCTACGCGTTAAATAGATCTAGATGCTTATATAAATATTCATTGAAATTGTGCACGAAAAACTGTGACCACGTCCATGCAAGATTATCTGAATATTTACATTAGGTATACTAGATGATGTTGACAAAAAAAAATTGTATGAACAGATGATATTGATTACAAGTTTTATGAATCGATATTGACAAAATATCGTATGAATATATAATCTCCAGAAAAAGTTTTTATGGATAGATGTTGACAAAAAATTGTATGAATAGATCGCATTGACAAAAATTTCTTCGATTATGTGCTGACAAAAAAGTTGCATTGACAAAATATCGCATGAATGTATGATCTTGAGTAAAAGTTTTTATGAATAGATGTTGACAAAAAATGATATATATATATATATAGATCGGTTGGCAAAAATTTCTACGAATATATGATGACAAAAAGTTGCATTAACAGATGATGTTGATAACAATTTTTATGAATAGATGTCCAAAATAATTGTAGGGTCGATGACAACTTCCGAACAAAATTATTAATTTGGTATGCAATATATGTTCAATAATAAACAAGTGTATTTAAACAAATTTGATTTTGTTTATGCAGTATCGCTGTCATAATCAGGATATCAAAGGGCGTGCAAGGAAACTGTGGACTTTTAGATTAATGCTCGATCATCAGACGAAACTATATTTGGTTGTGACAGTAATGGTATCTGGTTATATTGTCTGTAATCATATTTCTCATTGGTGCTCTAAAATTTCGAATAGATTGCAGGGGAATTCGAACGGATTCTAATTTTAAAGATACAACTGTGTAGTCGATACAACTGTAAATCGTGGCAATACTGTTGTTATAGTAGAGAAATGATCGAAAACAGGTGAGCTGAACAGATCATGTGACACTAGAGTACTCTCAAAGTGGAGGCAGATATACTATGTAGTTGGGAAGCAAATAGAATCTGACACCCACAAATACATAGGTTCGTGTTACGCATCCGCTTCCGTCGAAACATTATAAAAATACTGTTTCGGAAACGTGACGAGAGTAAGTAGTAATTCATAGTTGTAACAAAGATCTAAATTAAAGTGAATATAGTGCTAAAATGAACATTTATCGTCCATCAAATTTTGAAGCTAATTGTAAGTTAATCGGTAACCACACAGAAAAACGATATACTACTATCGCTTTATCAATGAAAATGAAAACTGCACCTGTATAAACACACATTTTTTTTAATTTCTCTGAGTTAACTGTCGAATCCACAATATTTTTTCATTGTCCAAAATTTGTTCGTAAAAAATTGAATAACTTCATTGCAATGGTAGTCAACGTGTAAAATAACGTGTCTTGATTTTATAGAATGTTTATGATTGCTGTGCAGCAGTTGATGCATAACTCAGCGTCCTTGTCACTTCGTTTGCATCCCCGTGACAACCGATACACCCCGTCGAACGAGATTCACCCACATACCACTGTCATCATCCTTTGAAGTATAATTAAATCATGATTTTTATGAAACTTTGTATGCTCACAGAATAGTGAGAAACAATGTGAAGGTATTTTCCAGCTCTGGTAACTTGAAAACTCTGAGAACGGTAACACGAATCACATAGTTCGGTACAAATTAAAAAAATTCCATTAAACTATATGCCACGTAAAGTGCTCATGATATTTGCAACAAAGTGACGTGTGCTCGAGAATCGTCGGTTCGATTACATTCCTACTTCAAAAGTTATGAAGAACTAGGACGTTCACTGCAACACTCGCTCAGGTAAAAAAAGCCATAGAAAGCAATATTTACTATTTCCTTTGCAACTGCTGCCAAATGCAGTTATCTCAAAGATCCTCGTACACATGCTGTAGTAAACTAATCCCAAGTTCTTGTGGACCTCCATCTCGCTTGGTCCACTTTGGAACAAGTTCCCCCGTTTCAAATAGCGCGAGCAGATCTTTCTGAGTGACTTAAAATGTACGCAAAATATTTCCCTCTATCCCCATCCGACTCGAAGTCGGAGGCGAAGCTTTAGGGGGCGGTTCCACCCTGCGAAACCCGAGCCACCTTAGCTCGTAAAATTAATGTGTCACCGTTATTGCCGGTTGTTCCGCAAGCCCGCAAAGATTCGCGACGATTCGACATAGCCGGAGACAGCTGACATGGTTTCGAAGCTGACAACCGCAGCACCGGTGGTTGCAGTTGCATCGGTCGACACAACAAACGCACAAAGCCGCTGCCAGCCTTCATTGTACGCCGCCGTGACTCTTTAGCGCGCTCGGTTTGCGAAGGAGAAGGCCGTTTCTTTGCTTAGCCGGGGCTCGCGAGCTCGCGCGCTCCCTTTGTCTCCGGTTTCACGCTTGAGGCGCGACGACGAAAGAAGGATTCGCGCGACAGCACTGGCAAACACGGCAACAGCGGGGCACTGGTTCGCAGGGCGCACGGTTTTCCGGGCACTTTATCGGCCGCGCGTTGTTCGTTGCCGAGCGTGATTCCTTTTTTTTCGGTCGGCGGCCAGCTGACCGAATCGGCGGACGCGTCAACGACTGTTTGGCGAGGTGCCGGACAACGCGGCGAAGAAAAACCGGCCGGAAAAAAGGGAAAATGGAGAACGCGACAGCGTGTTCGCGGCAATATTTCATCCGGCACGCGACGGGGGTCCGGCGGTCCTGTCACTTTGCCATATTACTGGCGATTAACCTCTTCCCACGCGTTGACACGCGCGTCGACGCGAGCCGCGTACCCACGCGTTCCGCTGCACGACCGCTGCGTGACACGCTAATCCGAACTCGAGTACGATCTTCGGCGGTCAACAGCGACGGCTTACCTGATATCACGAGGAAGGCGAACGCTGCTCTTAGCCACAGGTGGCGAGTCATCTTGAGTACCCGCGAATCGTCGCTCCTGTCGGTGGTCTGTTCGGTTTGTCACGGATTCCTTCTGTCGCACAATAATATACCACACCACTCCGAATCGTACGTTCCGCTAATTGAACAAAAAGGCTGGCAATCTTCGGCGACACATCGACGTGCGAGTAACTACCGATTCTCATCGATCCGACGGTACGATCATGTCGACCGCGAGTTAAACCGCACTATCCCTTGTTTTCTGTCGAATGGAAATGTCACCGCTACCACCGCACCGGTATCACCGTCGAACGAAACGTCAAACTCTCCCCATAGAGCGCACCGTACCAACTGATTGCTGCCGCTGGCTGGCTGGCTGACTGGCGGAGGGTGGCGACCGCGGCGATTCGAATTGCTGGCGTGCACCCGCGAGCGGAGCCGAGAGCCGAGAGCCGAGACCCGAGTCCCGACAGCGGACAGTCGCGAGGGTCGGAGAGCCGAGTTGAATTTTTCCTTTCACGTGGCCCGATCGCGTCGCGCGATTCTTTCTTGCGGGGACGCGTGTTCGGACGGACGCGCGAAACCGAAACGCGAGCCCAACGGAGGATCGACGGGAACCGTTGTATCGGATCCGCGGAACGTTATCGATCACCGCGTGCGGGAGCAAACGGCACGAGCACCAGAAGAGATTTTAAGCACTGTTGACAGGATAATTGCACGTATATCTGCACTGGATTGCGACAGACGAGACTGAGCGTCGCCGCGCGAAGCTGTTCCGCCGCGAGCCGCGCGTGCGCAGACCGCCCTTCGATCCCCCACCACCGATCTTCGCCCGAACCAGCCGAAAGATCGCCGCTCTCCGTTTCTCCGCACGGTCGTCGCGAGTGCTCGTCTCCGTCGCGCTCTCGTTACTCGACCATCGCCACTCGCCCCCGCAGCACGCACACGATCAACGGTCCGCGCCGCGATCTTATTCCACACCTCCTTTCGGCGGTGAGACGAAGAAGATGAGAGAGGAAGAGCGGGAGGGAGATAGCCCGGGTCCTCTAGATTCAATTTGCCGGGCGAAAGTTTTTGTTGAATAAGGTTTGTTACGTATCATCATTCAGTCGCATTAGAGCCATTGGCGAGAGAGACTCTGGGCACCCGCTGCTCCTCTTACCAAAGACCTTATATTTCGAAGCAGCGTGTGCACGGACCGCTGCCCTCTGCCTCTGCCGTCTCTCTGTCGACCATCCCGTTGAACGCTATACGCGGTAGACCGCAAACATACTGTGTGTGTATGCATGTACGGCTGCGATATCTCTCGTCCACGGCTCACGATCCTCTCTTGTGTCCGGCCAGCATCGCTCCGGTCTGTCTGTAGGCGCCGGCCTGTCGAACTGCGTAACAACATATGCTGACCTCTCGCTCGAAGGCACTTGGACAACACGGTTCCGAGTTCCGGCGCGACGGAAGGCCGCGGTTGTAGGGTTGCGCGCGGACGTTGTGCTCGCTGACGCGACAGTTAGGAAATCTAAGAGCGCGATGAGTAACGGGCTCGAGAGAGGACCCTCTGTATCTCGTCCTCGTCGTTGTCGTCGTCGTCGTCCGTGTCGTTGTCGTTGTCGTCGTCCGTTTAACGATTACGTTTATGTGCGATTTACGACCCGTGAAATTTATAGACGAATAAACTAACCGGGCATGATATCCACGGTTACTGTGCCGCGCGATTGAAATCCATTCCACGAGCTTTTTCACGTGAACGATTCGGAGTATCATGCGGGCAATCCTCCTAGGGGAAAATAAACCTTGCGAGGGCCACTAATAAGCAATGATGCGGCCAATTTTGAAATGAAGATACCGCGCTTCCCCCGGATAACGTCGACCTCGTTTCTTCAACAAACTTCGACGGTTACTTCAAATCACTTTTTACGAGAGAGGATTCCCGATCCGTAAACTAAACAAATTATGAAACTTCCGGCAATTTAAAATCGTAGAGTAATATGTGTGGATACCTATTAAAACGACTTGCTAGACGTCGCATAAAACTTCGTTTCGAAATATAGGAAATTTTCCCTAATTGACGCACAGATTGTGCACAAAAATGGACAATTTGGGAAGAGGAGATACGATTATTCGAGCCCCGCGGCTCGTCTTTATAATCGTTAACAATCGGTAAAACAAGCCGCAAGGCTCGAATAATCGTATCTTCTGTTCCCAAATTGTCAATTTTTGTTTCCAAGCTGAACGTCGATTAGGGAGAATTTACTGTAATTGCAATTGATTGAAATGACATAAAGTTAAAAAGTTGCGTTCTTTAACGCGAGATCTAGATCTAAGAAGTGCGTTTTTCAGTTTTTAATTCGATTACTATTGTTGGAATAATTTTTTTTTACACGTTGTCTAGTANGTCGTCCGTTTAACGATTACGTTTATGTGCGATTTACGACCCGTGAAATTTATAGACGAATAAACTAACCGGGCATGATATCCACGGTTACTGTGCCGCGCGATTGAAATCCATTCCACGAGCTTTTTCACGTGAACGATTCGGAGTATCATGCGGGCAATCCTCCTAGGGGAAAATAAACCTTGCGAGGGCCACTAATAAGCAATGATGCGGCCAATTTTGAAATGAAGATACCGCGCTTCCCCCGGATAACGTCGACCTCGTTTCTTCAACAAACTTCGACGGTTACTTCAAATCACTTTTTACGAGAGAGGATTCCCGATCCGTAAACTAAACAAATTATGAAACTTCCGGCAATTTAAAATCGTAGAGTAATATGTGTGGATACCTATTAAAACGACTTGCTAGACGTCGCATAAAACTTCGTTTCGAAATATAGGAAATTTTCCCTAATTGACGCACAGATTGTGCACAAAAATGGACAATTTGGGAAGAGGAGATACGATTATTCGAGCCCCGCGGCTCGTCTTTATAATCGTTAACAATCGGTAAAACAAGCCGCAAGGCTCGAATAATCGTATCTTCTGTTCCCAAATTGTCAATTTTTGTTTCCAAGCTGAACGTCGATTAGGGAGAATTTACTGTAATTGCAATTGATTGAAATGACATAAAGTTAAAAAGTTGCGTTCTTTAACGCGAGATCTAGATCTAAGAAGTGCGTTTTTCAGTTTTTAATTCGATTACTATTGTTGGAATAATTTTTTTTTACACGTTGTCTAGTAAGCTAGTCCTTCTAACATCTCAACAACAAAAAATCAGCGCGTTTGGTCCAGCAATAAAAATAGTTATTCCCTTTTATTAAGGGGTGTAAACATATATTTGTCCACGACTATATAGACGGTGTACAGATACGTATATTATGGAATTCTTCTCGTCTTCCAAATTCACTCTAGAGGTTTAAAATTGACCCCTGAAAATAAACTTAAAATTCGAAAGACTTTTCAGAAGCATTAGCAAAGGAATACGTCGAGAAGCACTATTCTGGATGTACATCTGTTGTACTCGCAAAGAATGAAGTTTACAGTTACCAAAAGTTTTAGTTAGAAGAGCTGGGAACTCTTTAACGAACACGCGCATGTAACCGTACGTGACATGAAGTATTCACTTCAAATTCACTTCGAGAGCATCCATATATTTTGATAACCTTGTTCACAGAATGTCAATGTGTCCGTATGATTGGCTTTGGATTAAAGAATTTCAGTCGAAGCTACGGAGTGTCGCGTGTAGTCATTGGTTGCCATTTCTACTTAGCACGTACCTCAACTGTTGCCGGCTGGCTATTGCCTGGTCAGTGAATGCCATTTCTACTTAACACGTACTTGAATTGTTGCCCGGTGGCTATTGATTGTCGTGTCTGGTCACTGGTTGCCATTTCTACTTAACATGGGCTTAAAGTGTTGCTCGATGGGTATTGACTACCTTGTCTGGTCATTGGTTGCCCTTTCTATTTAACTCGTACTTCAACTGTTGCCTGTTCGGTATTGAGCGTCGTGTCTAGTTATTGGTTGCCATTTCCACTTAACAGTTACTTGAGTTACTACGCGGCAGCAATTGACTGCCGCGTCTCTGGTTACAGATTTCCATATCTACTTAATACGAGTTTCATTTTTTGTCCGGTGGATATTTAGTATCATATTTGACCATTAACACGTTGAACGCCACGGGGGTCACCGGTGACCGGCACTTAACTTGGCAGTGATGCCATGGGGGCCACCGGTGACCGGCGCGCCCAAATTGATAGAAATATATATAATTTAAAACAAATGTCAATATCTAAAATTTTGTATTATTACCATCGTCGATTCAAACAGTGGCCCCTGTCGCAATTAACATGTCAAACATGGTTATACACTGTAACTTATCTATTGCAGATAATATTTCAACATTATATGTATCATATAAAAAAAAATTCATCGTGGCGCCACGGGCAATTTCTGTAAAACCGGCGTGGCATTCAACGTGTTAATTGCCGCTTCTATTTAACACATATTTTAATTATTGGCAAACGATTATCGATTGTGATGTCTTACCATTACTTGCCATTTCTACCTAACACGTACTTGCCGTAGCATTCATTATTCAACATGGACTATTTTCTGCCATTTTTTTCTGCTTGTTTTCCTAAGCTATAGGATACAATTATTGTTGTCACGGTGATCGTGTGATACACGTTTAACGAACGACTCGGAAAGCAAACGGGCAAAAATATGACCGAACGGGATAGATTAAATTCATGGTCAACGTTGATTGCGTTTCGTCCGATTAAAACATAAATTCTTCCCTCCAATTACTGTCTGCCAAATACTATGTGCTAAATTGATCAAATACTGTAGCACGGTATGTATTTTAACTTTTCTGTTTAAAATAACCGTCACCCATTTACACCATTTGACTATCTTGAATAAACTACTGAAATTAGTGAAAAATAATTAAGTAGAATAAACAAGCGAAAATGAATTCAGGTTCCCAACTTCTATTTAACTTTAATCTCCGAAAACCAATCCTGGATTTCGGTTTCCAATCTCAGAATCACTCCTCGTATAGAAATTCTACTAATTACCAACCCTTCAATTTTACCTGTCTTTGAGCGTTCGTTTCAAATGTTAAATTCTTCGAGCTGTACAGTATTTTTAATTCCATGCAGTATTAATTGCTCAATTAGTCTTTATTATTTTCTGTATGTTTCTTACATTTCCGAAATTTAGAAATTCGAGCAATCGTACAATTTGTAATTGCTTTCATGTCTATTTATATGCTATATTCATAATTCTATATTCAAAAAATGCATCGGAATGGATTGTAACGATTGCGCATCAAGCATTGCGTCAGCAACGTTTCTGAAGTAACATTCCCTAATTGAAGAACTGTCCATAATATACTAATCAAAAAATATTGCAATACATGTATCAGCAACATTTCTAAAATAATTTTTTCGAATTCCAGAAATGTCAATGATTGTTAAAATTGTTCTACACCTGTTTTGAACCAGTTAGCCGTTGCAATATTTGTGAAAATTGTATAAGTTACTGTAATTATACTCTATATGTTTGAATTTCTCCATATTTTGTTTAAATACAACACTTTCATAAAATATCTACTTTAATCAAGAATATCAAATTACAATATATCCCTCTTACCACCGATGGTATATGCTGACATATTTATTCAATGCGCTAAAAAAATAGCTTACAACAAATTTAGAATATTCTTATGCTGGAAATTAATTCTTCAGTTCTATATAAATTTCAATAATGATAATTAATAATTACATATAATATGTGAAGAGTTGAGTAAAAATAGCTCGGCGTGTTAACCAGTCAACTGTTCTTGACGAGTATACTCGCCCTGAGGAAATGGCAACATTTTGTGTTTCAACGAGTGCATTCGTTAAAGCAGCTAACTAGTTAAGAAACTGATACCTTGCACATTGTACTAGAAACAAATTTTATAATCCAAAGATCGTACAATAATGTTTCGTGAAAGCATCTGTAATCTGTAAAGTCTTTGTTTCTTCTGTCGAGCACCATTTCTCAGCTCGCGCTCTTTAAACTTTCGACGAACAATTTCCTTACACATACACACACATATATATACACCGGTATCCACATCCACACGAACATACACACACGTATTC